TGCTCGCCCGCGGGCGTCTACGAGTCGGCCAAGCTGATGAACGTGTAAGTGCGGCGGGCGGGGGCCGCCCGGCGAGGCCTGAGGGGGGCTTCGGGGCCGGCCGCGGAGGCTCACCGCGCCGCTCCCCCTGTTGCAGCGATCCCGACAACGTGGCTTTCTGCGTGCTGGCCGCGGACGAGGAGGACGAGGGGGACATTGCCCTGCAGATCCACTTCACCCTCATCCAGGCCTTCTGCTGCGAGAATGACATCGACATCGTGCGGGTGAACGACGTGGCCAAGCTGGCTGCCATCGTGCCAGGGAGGAGTCCGGGGAACCGCGGGACCTCCACTGCATCCTCATCACGGTGGGTGCCCCGCGGGCGCTGCTCGGGCCCCGGGGCTGTGGGTGTGCTGCCCGCCTCTCCGCGGGATGGCCCCAGCCTTTTGGGGTGGCCTTGTCTCCTGCCGGGGGCCAGGTCCTGTTCGGGGCAGGGAGAGTGGGGCTTGGTGCATGTCGTACGGTAAGCCGGCTGAGGAGGAGGAGTAGCGGGCTGCGCTTCTCGTAACCGTGGATTTCCTCTGTTGTCTGCAAGGGTAACGCCTCTGCTTCCTGCTCTGTCTGCATCGGGACAGAAGCTGTCTGAAAGTGCCTTGCTTCCTAAGCCAGTGCTTCTGTAAATACTGTGATGACTTCAACTGGCGGGCGTTACTCATAGTGATGACTTCAACTGGCGGGCGTTACTCATAGCGTGCAACTGTTTTTTTTTTTCTGGCAGAACCCGAATGAAGATAGCTGGAAGGACCCAGCTCTAGAAAAGCTGAACTCGTTTTGTGAAGAGAGCCGAAATGTCAATGACTGGGTGCCAACTGTCACCCTGCCGGAGTGATGGTGACCCAGTGCACTGGGGAGGCTGAAACCTTTTGTTGCATTCTCAATGTGGCATGGGTTCACTGAAGTGTGCAACAAGCTGCTGATTCCATGGATTTGCCTGGTCAAGAGACTGGATTAAAGTCACTCAGACTGGCATGCAGTGGGCTCTTACAGACGAGAAAGAAGAACAGCTCGCCTCACCAGTGAGCCTCAGTTAGGCTGCAGCCATGGAGAGGCTGACATACCATGGAACCGAAAGAAGTCTTGCAAGTTTCCTGGTCGAGTGGAACTGTTTCAGGAGGCAGAGAGAAAGTTGGGGGAAGCAGGCCAAAACTTTCCAGAGGACTAGACAGAGTATTCTAACTAGGAACTGTTGGTGCTCTCTACATAATGCAGAGAGAAGAAAGTATCAATGTTTGATGGACTACTAGGGACTGGTTACTGAGAAAAATAGAGGCTCCAAAATGGGCAGACTTCAGCAGGCCTCTTGGGTCACTCTGCAGAACTGGTTTTGTAATGCAATAATTTTTATTGAAATATTTGCTGCTCTGGAAGCTTTCATAATAAATTTTTGACAATTAATATCTGGGAGTGTCTTGCTTACTGGGTGGGGAGGTAGGTCACTGAAATACCACAAATATTTTGTTTGTGTGCTGTTGTCAAAGGTATACTCCACAGTAATGGAGCTGTTGCTCAAATACTTTCTTTCCCGGGCCAGCTGAACGAAGAGCTGTGCTGTGCAAGTTGATAATTCAACCTTTTACCCTCTTGCAACAGCTGCTTATCGCAACAGCTTGCTAGACTGAGGAGCTGCATGCTTAATGAGCTCACTTATTGTAATAGGTGGTCTTTGTAGTCTGCTGGAGGAACACAATACGTGTTAGAAACATGGATTTTTGGAACACAGACCTCCAGTAAATTGCATCATTAGTTCTTAAATATGACTTTGCAGGTCTGAATAAGTCTTACTGTGTTCCCACTTGACAGAAGCAGCTTAAACATGGGGGGAGGAGGGGCGGCTGCAAAAATGCTTAGATGTCAAATACATCTAACACTTGCTTTGACTAGGATGACATCGTTGAATCTAAAACTAGCTAATAGGGAATAAACATCACATCTGCCACAAGCTGTGCTCTGATTGCCATATGCTGTAACAATAGAAGCTGTCACTCCAGAAGCCAATTTTGCAAAACCTAATTGCATGACAACTCCAAATTAAGTCCAAAACAATTTAAGGATGGTGTGGTTTTTTTTTAGAGGTCCTGTGAGGGAAAGTTAGTACGGGTGGGCTGATTTGGCCCTGTGTTAAAAGGGAAAATACCACCCCATTTCTGTGTGCGATCTGTATGTGTGCTCCAGGACATGACATCAGAATGGCATAGTAGTAATCCCTTCTCCAGAGAGCGAGAAAGCTAAGCTACCCACTTCCTCTGTAGACACTAAAAATACTCAGTCATCACAATTACATTTCCTCTAGGCTGGCTTGCAGTGATTGACAGTAGCACTTGCCGAAAAGCGGTCATTTCTGTGTGGGGTATCTTGAGCTGTTGCGGCTTCTGGGAAGCCACTTGCTCTCGGTTTCGTTGTTCCTGATAAGGGAAGTTCAAATTCAGCTCCAGCATTCCTGGAACACCCTCCCTCATGCAGGAGGCATCTAGCACTGCTTGGCCTTTGTCACAGTACTGAGAGGGGCTGCAGGGCGGCAACACAACCAGGGTTTAGGCTGAAGCAAAAGCTGTAGGGGCCTGAGACTGCTGCGAGTGTCCCTCCTCGCACCTGGGGTGCGGGAGTTGCTGCGCAGCCTGTATTTCTGCTTGGCCCGCGCTCATCAGCTGGTGTCTGCTCTAGGACTTTGAGAGAAGTCAGACAGAGCAGCTGAGAGAATCAATAGCTTTAGCAGCTGTGATAACAGAAACTGCCTTTAAGGCAACTGCCTTGATACATGGAAAATACCGAGTCTGGATGCTTTATTGTACATTTTCATATTTTCCCCTTAGGAAATGCAGGTTTCTTCATTTTCAATGGTTTTACAGCTGAGAAATGTATTTCTGTTCTTTGCTTGGGGCCTAATCAGTACTCAGAGCCAAGAACAGATTAAAGTGAACTGTCCTGAAATCAACTTTTAGATAAGGTGTAAGCAGTGCTTTACAGCCTGGAGTGGTTTAGACAAAAGCCTGAGAAGATCGAAAGAAGTTCTCCAACACGCATACAACTACGTAGACAATTACACCATAGCAGAGAGGAAGTACCGCTGATTTGTTGGCTGAGACAGTGGGCACAGGTAGTTGTACCTGGTAGGAAGTTTAACTTTCCAGCCTTTGTGGAAGAAATTTATTATGCAGCAAACAGCGAAATTAATGAGGCAACACGAAACCACCCGTGTGAGGATGTTGCCCCTAGCCCCTCGGAAGACTGGAGGCTGACCTTCGTCTCCCCAGCAGTCTTGTGAAGCTGTGAGCTGTGCCAGCGGAGAGGTACACAGTTTCTTGTTCTAGCGACCCATACAATTCTCCTGAAATCCCTTCTGGCTCAGCGCAGATACACTGTAAAGCACGTAGCGCTAAACCGTGTTAGCCTGCAGAAGTTACTAATCCAGGGTTGCAAATAAAGGCAGCTGTAACTTCCAAGTTATGCGCTGCTGCAAATGTCTGTGATGATCAACACTACTTAATGTAGCAAAAATTCAGCAGCTGGTATCTATTGGCACAAGTAGACTTCGTCTCTACGTGCTCAGATGTGTAACTGCGCAAGGAGCAGCTATAGAGTTGTTACAGACGGACGGCAGGCTCGGGTGTTGCTGGCTGTGGTGGGGACAGCTGGTCGGGAGCTGTAGGTTGGTTGGCTCACAAGATGCCCAGGGCGTTTCATCAGGTATCTGGGGGAGCTGGAGGGAGGGAACCATCACCTCTTGTGCCTGCGAGCAGCTGTCCCAGGGGGCAGAAGCTCCCAGGACAGGGGCCCCATGGGTCTGCCAGGCTTGTGGGGGCTGGCGGGAGCTCTGCTGCAGTGCCCGCGTCCCAGCTGTGCTGCGCGGGCTTCTCAGGCTGGCTTGCTCCGTGCCGTGGTGGGCCGTGTTGGGGGCCTCTGGGCAGGAGGATGGGGACGGTAGTGGTCAATAGTAAAGGTGGTTCTCCGGGACGTGATGCAGCAGAAGGTGCAGGACTTGGAGTGGAGTCGCAGAGCGGTGGGGCAGGACTTGGAGGAGTCACGGAGCGGTGGTGCTTTGGCAGCTCTGCTTCCACCAAGCCGTTCACTTGCGTGCCACAAGGTGATCAAAACTGTGTGTTTAAATACCATAACCACGGACATTCGTGTTGTGCTGTCCATACCCCCAAGTACACTTTTTTAAATGAAGTGATGTATGCAGTTTCGTTTAAAGTTTCGTGAGCAATGGGTTTACGTTTCTCTGCCTGGGTATCTATTTCACCATCCAATAGCGCTGACTGAGAGGAATTTCCCCTCGTATGCTGTTTCCTTCTCTTAATGCTGTTTTCTTCCTGTTACACTTCTGCGCATCACTTCACTTTTCTCTCTCTTGTGGTTACAGATGGTGACTTTCTCTTTAGGTGCCTGATTCTTCTAGTATGTGCTATATTGAGTCAAATTCCTCCTCATCTTATCAGGATATATATATATGCATACTGGCACACAGGACACAGTGGCTGTAAATAATGATTTCTCTTTACTGTTGAGTAGGAAATACAAAAAGGAAGATAATAAAAAGTGTATCAGACAGAGGCAGGCAAACTGCTGCATGGAATGATGTTTGCATAAAATCTGTGCATATGCTAAACCACCGGCTCAAACAGCGTTTATAGCACTGGATGCTCAGGGAAAGAGCACTGGCATGACCTCTTCCAGCCTTGGAGTTCTGCAAACCGGTGGAGCTTTAGTCATAGGTGGCGGCTGTTTGAAATGATGTACGTTCTGCAAGGAGACAATCTTTGCAAAAGTGCTGGTGGCAGAAATGTACCATAGCACCACTTTCTGACACCTAAGGGAGACCTGGCTCATGTCAACAAATCTACTAACTCCAGCTCTCAGATCCCCTGTCATCAGGAGGAAAGAGCAGCATGTGCCCAGGTTAAACCACGGCCGGTACACAGACAGTGTGTTACTAGCGGAAGCAAACACCGTCACATGTGCAAGCAAGAGCGATGTGTGGAGAAGGAAGTGTGAATATTGTGTTCCTTCTAGGGACACACATTGTGGACAACTGTGCTCTTGACTAGGTGTCCACGGCACCTCATTCATTGTAAAGCAGCGATGGCAGAAACCGAGTTTGGCAGAGGGATGGAGATGTACTGGCAGTACATACACCTCACTGGAGCCATTCTTTCTACAGGTTTTTATGAAAACCGCTTCTCATTCCTGC